GACCCGAGCAAAGAGGCTGCTGCCAGCAAACAAAACCAAAAACGTCCCGCTGACACGCTACACCCACCTGAACTGAAATAGTGCTGACTCACTGAGATGTTTGCCAGTTAACCATGCACAGTGGGAGGGGAAACTGGGGCTGCTACAGCTGCCGAGGTAGAAACTGAAGCAATTGAGGGAAAAAAGCTCAAACAAGTCTCCAGCAGCGAACCAGGCTGAGAACACATGACAGGATGCTATTAGCGAGAACAGAGGCGTGTTTGATGCTTTATCGATTTGTGTGACTTGTTGTAGAAACGTCTCTTGGCTCTGCCTCTCTAAGTGCTAAGCTTCGTTTAACACTCTTCTGAAGCTGCGAATATCAAAACACCAGAACAACCCGAGTCAATACCACACCTGACTGGGGACCAGCTGCAGACTTGAGAAAATATTTCTCGAAACAGAAAAACGAGTGTTTGAGTTTTCACACCATAGCTGAGATACGTAGGCCCAAACTGGTCCTATTAAATAGTTTTGGTGATTGGCTGAGCCACATTCAAAGCTATTGTAAAATTCTTGATATGCACATAAATGACCACATACATCTACGTGTCAATGCAGTAAGTTGTTGTCAATACAGAGTTGTCCTGTTCATGGAATAATCTATGACTGTTGCGTTGCTTGGCAATCATAGCCAGTTACATTGCTTGGTGGAAGGACCGTATATTGTGATTATTAATAATAATACATTAAATTATTTATTGAACACTGGTGTATTTTATTGCATTTTCTACATTTTATGTCATGCCTAACACCATTTAACCACAGGCAAATCACTGTAACATGGCTTATTGCTTTAGTCTTGTGTGTGTGATTCGTAGAGCATGAGAACAGGAGTTGATATTAAGATTCAATGGCTATGTTCAGTTGCATTAAATCAGTAACTCACTGTGAGAATTGGTCCCTAGAGCAGGCTAGCTTCTCTGTAAAAACAGAGCAAGTAAACTCACTTACAGTGGCACAAATTATAAAAGGAGCATGAGAAATTTTCCCACAAGAAAATGATGTTTGATAAAATCTGATAGAATGTAATAACATTGACTCTTTTCATTTATTCTGCTACCTATCCAGTTTAGCAGGTCACCGTTGCTGACATGGTGTGAATACTGATAATGGAGAAATTACTACAAGTGATACAAGTGCTGTGGAATTCAGTTTATCTGGGATGCACAGAATAAGGGAGTAATCTGACAGCAGTGCCAAAGTCTATTTGGCATTTTACATTAATGACGGCCACTGTAAGCAGGTTTTGATAAGGATACATGCCAAGTCTGGCTATTTTTCTAAACAATATAACTTAAAACATTCCTTGATAAACTCTAATAAAGCTCATCATTTGTGCCTTTTCCTCTGTGCTGTTATAATTTGCAACTGTATAAAATATGAATATGTGAACGTAAACTAAATGCTTGAGCTAAACAGGACATTTCTGTGGAAAAACAAAGAAACGGAGAGATTAGTAAATGTAAATTACTACTTTTTTTTGTATAATTTTTATTTCAAGTCATTACCCATTCATTTTTCTATCTAAGAAAGTAAAGGGATTCATCCATTCTTAGTGAGCGTTAAATCTTACATATAGTTATATACTTGATCAGCAGACAAGCGCATACAGTTTGGAACACGTTCGAATAGCAAGGTGCCAGATTTGTTAGCATGGAGATGCTAGCATTGAAATCAAAAGGCAGGTTAGATTTACTTAAAGAAAGGGTTGCATAAAAAACTTACCAAAAGTTCCCTTTTGTCCCTTGTTGAAGTTCCCTCTTACTCAAATGTAAGGATAAAAGAAACCCAAAGTGTGGACAGAATTCAGTATTTAAGATGGCTGCTGCTACTCTTTTTAGCTATGCTAACTTACCTTTATCCATGTTTATAGAAAACAGTATGCTATACATTGTCAGAAACCACATAAGAAAGTCTATTTGAGATTACTTAACAGCTTGACACAGTTTTAGGCAAGTGTGTGATGATGTAAATATGCAGTTAGCTCCATGCTAATTGTTGGGAGTATAAGCTTCCATTACTTGGCAGCTACATTACCCTAGTAGCTTCAGTGCTAAAGATAAAGAAGCAAACTGTATAACCATACACCAAATATATGAACATAAGCACAGTGTCTGAAGTGTTGATTAAGTGTGAGAAAATTCCCTCACACTTATATATTTGGCAAGGTTGAGAGAGAGAGAGAGAGAGAGAGAGAGGGTATCGTGTGGTGACATTCAGACTAATGTGGTTGAGCTCATAGACACTGAGGTACTATAAATGGTCTGAAAAGGGTAAATGAGTTCAGATATTATAGAAGCTTCTTCCGTGTCTTTATCTGTCTCTCCATTGTTTGGAGGTCAGTACAATTCTAGTTTATATCACAATACCTACATTTAGAGTGAGATATTCATTCAACCTAATGAGAAACTGTAGCTCACAACTCAGTTTATATCACAATACCTACATTTAGAGTGAGATATTCATTCAACCTAATGAGAAACTGTAGCTCACAACTCAGTTTATATCACAATACCTACATTTAGAGTGAGTTATTTATTCAACCTAATGAGAAACTGTAGCTCACAACTCAGTTTATATCACAATACCTACATTTAGAGTGAGATATTCATTCAACCTAATGAGAAACTGTAGCTCACAACTCAGTTTATATCACAATACCTACATTTAGAGTGAGTTATTTATTCAACCTAATGAGAAACTGTAGCTCACAACTCAGTTTATATCACAATACCTACATTTAGAGTGAGATATTCATTCAACCTAATGAGAAACTGTAGCTCACAACTCAGTTTATATCACAGTACCTATTCTGTCTCGGTAGCATTCTGTAAAGCCTGTCCAACCTCAGAGCAGTAGCTATAAAATAAGACATTTGTGGGCGGAGGTCAGTTGAATTGATCTAACACTGTCAGGCTTACTGAAGGACTCTTGTTGTGCATTTCAGATCAAAGTTATCAGATTCTCTCTCTTCACTTCACCGTGTTCAGCAGACGCTCTCCAGCTAATGGAGGGAAATGGTGTGGTGGACGAGATGCACTGGATCAATAGCACATTAACGAGGAATTAAACAGAGGCCAAGGCTTCAGCATACTCAAATTAAACACACAGGTGATAAATAGTGCAGCTGAATCAATAGGAAGATGGGGAATTTCAGATATTTAATGCAGTTTGCTTATTTTTAGCAAGTAGGATTTGGAAAGTGTTTGCACGCTTTTGTTTTGATGAGCAGAGAGTCTGGTGGGATTATTTCATGATGACGTATGTGTGTGTTTGTTGACCTGGGAACCAGCCTTGAGGCCTGTTTTTAGCTCTCTCCTCTCTCTCTCCTCTCTCTCTCTCTCTCACTCTCTGTATCAATTAGGTTTATGATGTTCCAGAAACTTAAATAATAAACTCTGTACATTAAATCTGGCTTTTTTATGTAGTTGAACAGATTCAAGTGAAATGTACCTTTGTCGTCTTCTCATATTCCCATAACATCATCAGTGTATGTTCACAGCAGTGAGAAAAATGTTTCTCCAGATTCACCCTGAAAACTGTTCATGTACCATAAAAGTAACTTTGTTCGTTCTAAGTGTGTTTTTGATTACTGAGTTGTGACAGTCCTGGAATTCCTATGTTTAATCTATAGGTGGCCATAATAAGGGACCGTTTTATAGCATTTAAATAATTCACAGTGAAAGCTATCCAAGCTGAAGTAAAGCCTCCAAAAGTAAAAGGTGGGATAAACACAGATCCCACCATATAAATTTAAATACCTTTTTTTAAAAAAAAAACTTCTCATTCACAGATTCATCAAAATGTGTATATATATATATATATATATACATATATATATACAAAAACACATTTATTATAGATGTCATGTAAATTAAATATAATATTTATATTTTTGTACTGATATTTGCTGTCCTATTTTGTGGTCAAAGGTACACTTCACACAACCTCTTTTTACAAATCATATCTATTTTTATGAATATATTTTTATGTACTTAGATTGGAAAGCATGCCTGGTTCAAATAATACAGAACTGTATTGAATTTATTGTGTTTGCATCAGTTTAATAGTCTTCATAACAACAGTTGCAACTATTACAGTTAATCTTTCCTATTGGGTGAATTGTAACATTTGCACAAGCGTTTACATGTTTGTTTGTAGCAGAAAACATTATGAATCATGCTCTGGTAGTTTAAAAATGATTAGGCAAAAATCGGAATGTGTTAGGTTGTGCCTCACTCTCTCCTAAACTTATGATGGCCTGAAATAAGTTATAGTAAAGCTAATATGTGTTAGTACTCAACCTTTCATGGATGATGTCACTCGTTGTCCTTCTTATGGAGGCCTGCAGAGTCGTTTTGTGCTGCTAATGTTCAGCGCTGATTCTCTTTTATTAATACATATTGTTTTTTTATTATAAACGTCTTTTGAAAATTCACATTTATACAGATTATACAGGTGTTTTTACATCATGGTGTTAGTGCATCAATGTATATCAGTTAGTACATCAATTATGACCACTTTTCAGTTCAGTTACATTATTATTCTTTTCAGTCATAATGTAGAAAGTAACTTTACTCTAAATACTCATGAAAAACTTGTTTTTTTTGTTTTTCATTTATACTTTGAAATAATTTTGAAAAAAATTAAAACAAAAATTTGGGATATATTCATGTATATGAGTATTCAAGCAGGACATGCAGATCTCTGTTAATTTGTTCATTTTATCTGTTTCTCTCTCTCTCCCTCTCTCTCTCTCTTTCTTTCTCTCTCTCTCCCTCTCTCCTCTCTCTCTCTCTCTCTCTCTATCTCGCTCTCTCTCCCTCTCCCTCTCCCTCTCTCTCTCTCTCTCTCTTTCTTTCTCTCTCTCTCCCTCTCTCTCCCTCTCTCCTCTCTCTCTCTCTCTCTCTCTTTCTCTCGCTCTCTGTCTCTCTCTCTCTCTCCCTCTCCCTCTGCAGTTGGGATGACAGTAGTTCAGTCAGCAGTGGTCTGAGTGATAATCTGGACAACATCAGCACAGATGACCTGAACACTCCGGCATATTCCGCAGTCTCCACCCGCAAGAGCAAAGGAGCGCAGGTCCGGATACACACAGACACGTGCAGATATAATTAGCTCTGTGTGTGTGCAGTAGGACACACCAGATTTTAAGTTTTGGACTCTTATCTCTTTGGCTGCTGAGAGAAGTTAGACCATCTGTCAGGTGGGAAGCCTGAAAGAGTGCTGAGAATGTGTGTGTGTGTGTGTAGAGTACTAGTCAAAAGTTTGGTGCCACTTTACTGAATTTAGATTTTCCAGAAACTGAAAGTCATTATGGCTCGAGGAATAAGTCTATGACCTAAAATATATGTTTAAACATTTAAATTTGAATTTGTTTCTTAAACACTATTGAGACATTTTTATTTTTACGTGGGGGTGGTGGTGAGGTAATGCCAATTTACCACAGTATGTCTGTAATGTTTATGGTCAATTCACATAGGGATAGAAAATCCTGGTATGAATGACGTAGGAAACATTTCAAAACAGTAAATTTTGCGTATATTTCATTTACCCTAAAAATTCATCTTATGTGAACGCACTGTGTCACAAGCATTTTCATTAGCTTGGGAATTCACAGCCATTAGCAAACATCGCTGCACAAAATCAAACATTTTAGAAGTTTTAATGTTCTGCATTGTACACACATTTTTACCAGATAGAACACAAGTAAAGAAGTCTTTTGTATGGAGTGTCTCCATACTTAAGAATACCTTTTTACACAGAATATAATAGAATTTTTACTTGTATGTCCATTTGCATGAGATCAGTATATCTTGTCGTTATTCCTACTGCATGTTTTGTGGAAGGTAAGAGGCGCTGAAATCTTTACCGATGCGGTCGCGCGTGGTCTGTGAAAATGACTGACATGCACCATTCGGACGGAAAATCACTGTGAAAGGCTGACAAAAATGACAGCTCCTCAACTCTCCATGGAAAATAATCCCATCCGCGTAGGGCTTTAGACAAGTCATCAATTTGATTATGTGCCTGAATTTCTTTCCAAAAGCAGAAATGTTAAATATACAAATTGTGTTTTTTTAATACAAGGTATACCTGACATTTTAGTAAACCTAGTTTTTTTTTTCAATATAATAACCATATTTGCTGTTTTTTGTGTCTTATAAATCAGAAAGCTTTATTACTTTATGGCTGATACCAAATAGGCAAAACAGTGCTTTGATATGAGTTACACATTTCAAAATTGGAAAGATCTGATGTACTTCAATATGGAGATGTATAGGGCCAAATATATTGCACAACAATCTATATTTCTCCAGATGTTTAGCTGTTAACCTTTAGATGTTAACCTGCATGTCTGTATCTTGTATTTCAGTAGTTAAATACAGCTTAAACAAAATGATATTCCCTAAAAAATTCATGCATCATACACCAAAAGTTATAACTTACCCATTTTTTCCAAATTAACGTCACACCGACTTTTTGAAGACATTTAATATTTTCATATCAGAACTAATGAAGACACAAGCCTAAAATTTTACTCACCAGCTTTTGGGCACAAGACAAAGTTTACCTACATTTTTGAAACACCAATTATGAGTACACTCAATACCAAGGCTGTGTTCTAAAAGATGTTTCCTTTTTGCATAGATTCTGTACCCTACCATAGGCTTGCATAACCAATGCTCACATACTCAGTGCTTTTGACCAAATAGATTTTTGAATTGTGGGCCTTAACAGAGAATTGAAATGTGTATTATACTTTACAGTCCCACAAAGACAGGCACTGTGATCAGAATGACAGCAGCTGGACTGGAGCTGAAGAGCTGAAGAAGGTTGATGAAGAAATGGAGGCCATGGACTCTTCCTCCAGATGGAAACCTTCATCCTCTTCCTCAGCACAGGGGGAGGAGGGGGGGCAGAAGGGTTCATCACACACAACTGCAACACACACTTCAGCGACACACACAGGCTCGTGGAGGAGGGGCATGAGCGCCCAGGCTGGCATCACTCCTCCACGGACCAAAAGCACCACCACCACTACCTCCATCAAGACTACAGGTAATGCACACACACACACACACACACACATACAATATTCTGGATTAATTTTATATTAATTCATATTTTATTACATTTTATATTCATTTTATTACAACTTCATAATGGATATTATTCTAATTAGAACTTCATTCTTGATGTTCTGCAACTTCCTCTGTTATTTTCAAATTATGTTTCACAACTTCACCTCAACCTGTTCACTTTTTCAGTTCTGTTTTATTTATTTAATGCTTTTCACAATAGATATTTCCAGAAATGCAGGCTCAGACCCTTTATAAAAAAGCCAAGGGCAGGAAAACTCCAAAAGAATTTTTGAGAAGAGTAGAGATGATTGCTTGAGAATTGCAACTGCATCATAAGCCCTTTATCTGACTTTGAAAAGTTTAAGTGGCTAGTGCTGCTCTGTAGCCGCCTGCTGAGACTGCTTTGCTAGCTTTGCTTTGTTTTTTTGTGAGAAATTGGCTCAGTTTCACTTTAACTGTGTGATTTAGCTGAGCTGTTTGAAACAGTATTGTCATACCACTCAGTTTTGGCTGCCTCACAGCGCTACTTGGCTCTACGTCATTGTGTCCCACAGATAATGATTTATTGGGTGGTCAAAGTATCTGCAAATTAGCAGGAAAATCTGGACTTTCCACCCTAAAAGACTAGCGCCATTGTTACCAGGATCTTCTCTGCCTGCACAGTGCACACACACATATATCTACTGAATTAGTTCAAACTTTCATTTTATTAAAATAAATGACTGAACATTCCATTTTGTTGCTACCAAAACAATCATAACACTACCTGACCGGTTTGATAGTGACAGTTTTAGCTAATTTTGAGCAGAACTCAAAAATGCTAGCCTGTACATGACCAGCAAACACAGGTTTGAACAGTTGTACACACATAAAATCATGTTTCCATTAAAATGCAAAAAACCTTTACAGACTTGCAGAGAATATGGGTTTTGGTAGTTACAATTCAGACAAAACAGACTGATTTTAAGTGCTGTGAAAAAGTGTTTGCCTTCCCAATTTATTCTATCTTTGCATATTTGCCACACTTGGATGTTTCAGATGATCAAAATACTTTTAATATTAAACAAAGATAACTCAAGCAAACACAAAATGCTGTTCGGCCCTACATGAAAAAGTAAATGCTTAGCTACTAAATCAAACAGTTCAGTCAAAAATTCAATTGACTGTTGGGTTCAATTTCACTAGCCACACCCAGACATGATTACTGCCAGACCTGCTGAATCTAAACATCACTTAAATAGAACCTGTCTGGCCACGTGAAGCAGACTAGAATGACTCGAAGTAGACTAGAAATTGAGACTAGAATGTCTCAAAAAACAACATATGATGCCACGTTCTAAAGAGATTCAAATACAGTTGTGAAACAAAATCATTTAAATTTACCAGTTTGGAAAGGGTTACAGAGACATTGCTAAGGCTCTGGGACTCCAGTGAACCCCAGTGAGAGCCATTATCCACAAATGGAGAAAACTGGGAACAGTGGTGAACCTTCCCAAGAGTGGCCAGCTTACCAAAATTTCACCAAGAGCGCATCGGCGACTCATCAAGGTGGTCACAAAAGAATCCCGATAAACATCTAAAGAACTGCAGGTCTCACTTGCCTCTGTTAAGGTCAGTGTACATGATTCCACAATAAGAATGACACTGGGCAAAAATGGCATCCATGGGAGAGTTGCAAGGAGCAAATCACTGCTGACCCAAAATAATATCCTGTAGACTGATGAGTCAAAGTTGGAACTTTTTGGAAGACATGACTCCTGTTACATCTGGCGTAAAGCTAACACCACATTCCACTAAAAGCACATCATACCAACAGTCAAACATGGTGGTGGTATTGTGATAGTCTGGGGCTGCTTTGCTTCTGCAGGACCTGGATGACTTTTCATAATTGATGGAACCATGAATTCTGCTCTCTATCCAAAAATTCTGAAGGAGAATGTCCGGCTATCAGTTTGTGACCTAAAGCTCAAGCGCAGTTGGGTTATGCAGCAGGACAATGACTCAAAGCACACAAGCCAGTCCACCTCTGAATGGCTCAAAATAAACAAAATGAAAGTTTTCGAGTCCTGAATCCCACTGAGATACTGTGGCAAGGCCTTAAACAGGCACTCCATGCTCAAAACCCTCCAGTATAGCTGAATTAAAATGATTCTGCAAAGAAGAGCAGGTCAAAATTCCTCTACAGTGATGTAAAAGACTCACCGCAAATGTTTGATTTCAGTTATTTTGGCCAAGTGTGGCTCAACCATTAGATTTGAGGGGCAATTACTTTTTCATGTGAGACATATAGGTTTTGAATAAATCTTTATCTTCAATAAGTGCAATGCATCATTTAAAAGCTGCATTTTGTATTTACTTGTGTTGTCTTTATCTTATGGGAACAATGGGACCTAACTGCTCACCATGCGGCCATGAAGGACAGGGATGCAGTCTTACTTCCTACTCTAAAATGGACGGTGTGGCAAACAAAATAATGCTCTGACTCCAGACTAAAACTCTTTAAACTCTTTCTTACTTTCTAACTCCTTTGGATTGAATACTTAATTTTTTAAATAATTTTAAAAAGGACTACAGTTTGAAGTTATTTCGTACAATGGTCTATTTGGTAGAATAATTTGATTTTTTTTTTTTTAATCCAGCTTTTTCCTCAATTTAGTTGTGGCCAATTCCCACCCATTAGCTAGGCCTCCCCCTTATTGCCTAATGTGATCAGTCTAAGAAAGGTAAAGGCTAGCACATGCTTCCTCCGAATCATGTGAAGCTTCACTGTCTTTCCAGACTAACTTGCCACTAATGCAGTGTCAGTGGCTGGTGCTAACCGCAAATTCTTACAGATGCCCCCATTGGATAGCATCACGCTGAGTAATAGGAGGAGTGAGGACAAATCCTTGTAACAGAGATCTTACTCAACCAGTACACAACAGTTCTGAATCTGAAATAGAGGTTAAATGATCACAGAGATTGAGAACTGCATTGTTTTTGCATTGCTGGCTTTATAATAACGAATATCTGTGTTTTAGCAGGTAAAACAGATGATGCTAAAGCTTCAGAGAAAGGCAAATCTCCATGTAAATCCCCCAGCATCCAGCGCTCCCCCTCAGACGCGGGCAAAAGCAGTGGGGACGAAGGCAAGAAGCCCCCGTCTGGTATTGGCCGGCCTCCAGCCACAGGATCCTTCGGATTTAAGAAGATTCCGGGTCCTTCGGGGCCGCTAGTCACAGCCAGCGGTGCTACGCTGGGTAGCGGCTCAGCTACTTTGGGAAAAATGCCCAAATCTGCAGGCATGGGGAAGGGTGGAGCCGGGAGGAAAACAAGCCTGGATGAATGCCAGCCCCAAGACGATGGTGTCCTGCTGGGGGTTGGGGGGTCAAAAGTCACGCTGCAATATCGGTCCCTTCCTCGACCAGCCAAATCATCCAGTGGAATTGGAGGGGTGGCAAGGAGTGGCTATCGCTCAAGCTCCAGCAGTATAGACTCCAATGTTAGTGGAAAGTCAGCAGGAGGGGGTGGGGCTGGAGGTGGAGCCAGTGGAGGAGCTGGAGGTGGAGTTTCAGGAGGCTCTAAGAGGAGAGATGGAGGGAAAGTTGGATCAGGACGTTCGAGCCCAGTCACTGTAAACCAGACAGATAAAGAGAAAGTAGCTGTATCTGACCAGGAGGGGGCAGCACTGTCCACATCCCCAAAATCCAGCCCAACGTCATCAGGACTGAGACAGCCTGGGTCAAAATACCCGGACATCGCTTCACCCACCTTCCGCAGGTGAGAAATATGCAATATTTTTACTCTGTTGTACTACACGGGTCATTAGGGTCACATATGCACATGCAGTTTGGAACAGGTTTGCCGGCTGGACAAACAAAAGGTGGGTTAGATTTCATTAAAGGAATACTTAAGTATAGTCAGTCAGCCAGACTGACTGTGTCCAAATTTTCCCTTTTTTAGTTCAGTGCTGGAATATGAGGCTAACATTGCTAACAAACACTAGAGGTCAGTAGTCACCCAATTATTTGTTTGTAAATACACCTTCAAAACTTCCCTCAAACTGCTTCCAGGTCTTCGTTAAAGTTGTACAGACTTGATGAGGTGATGAGGTTTAGGACACAGTAGCCCCCTTCACATGGGCTCACTTCACACATGTATATGGTTGCTATAAATTGCATATGCAGTCTCTGTTGTTTCTATTTAGAAACAACTGTTAATTTCAAAATTCCAAGCTGATGATAAATGTTTATAAATAGAAGTAGAGATCTTGATGGTCGTCTACTATCCATACGCCTGTGTGACGTGAGTGCATGGGACAGGGAGTCTGTGGGGCAGTCGGAATCCGGCACAGAATCGGATTCTGTGAGGCAGCCGAAATCCAGCACAGCAGCTCTCTAAAATAGCTACCCTGCAGCGTTCAACTACACAGTGATGTTCTGTTTGTTTTTATAGTTCACAGTAAGTCACACTGTGTCCTGAACCACACTGACAAGGCTGAGTGACCTTAATGAAGACCTGGATGCAATTTGAGCAGGTTGAGAGAAGGTTTAGGGATGTATTTACAGAAAAGACTTGGGTGACTATTGACTTTTAATGTTTGTTCGCAATGTTAGCCTCATAGCTCCAGCAGCACAATTCACACACCAGACAGGAACATGGAGAAAGACAAAAAAAATGGAGACAGAGAGTGGGGAAAGAAAGAAAGATGGACAGAGAGAGAGAGAGAGATTGTTTTTCACGCTCTGGCTGACTCATGGAGTGTTTCGACCTCTCGACCAGTGAAAGTGGGAATGTGATGATGATGAGCATCTCTCTGCTGCTTCAGACAGAGAGAGAGAGAGAGAGAGAGAGAGAGAAGGAGGAAGGAGTGATTGATAGAAGAGTTTATTATGTCTGTCACATCCCCTCTCTCTCTCTCTCTCTCTCTCTCTTGCCCTCACTCGCGCTCTCTCTCTCTCTCCCTCGCCCTTTCTCCGTCTCCCTGCTCATTTCTACCTCTGATCTTTTTCTTATTGTTCTTTCATTCTCTCTCTCTCCCTGCTCTTTCCTTCTTTCTTCTCTCAATCTCCCTTTCTTCTCCCTCCCATCCCCTCCCTTTTACCTTATCATCTTCACTGTCTCTCCTTCTCTCTGCTTCCTCCCTCCTTCTCACTTCTTCTCCTCCTTTACCTCCCTTTGTTCTTTTTCTTGTTTCTTTTTCCACCCCCCATATCTCTCTCATCTCTTGTTCTCCCTCCTTCCTTTTTTTCTCCACACTCTCTGCTTTTTTTCTCACCTCTTCTCTCATTTTGTATCATCTTCTCTCTTTTTCTCTCCCTCTTTCCTCTTTTTTCTCTCTCTCCTTTTTTCCTTTCTCCCTCCTGTTTCCTTTTCATCCTCTCTCCATCTCTTTCTCCCCCTCTCCCTCCTTCCTTTACTTTCTTTTTACCTCCACTTTCCCTCTTGCTCTCTCTCTCCTCCTCTGCCTTCTTTCTTCTCATTCTTTCTGCTTTTCTTCTTACTTCTCTCTCTCCTTTTTTCATTCTCTCTCTCTCTCTCTCTCTCTCTCTCTCTCTCTCTCTCTCTCTCTCTGGATCTGTCGTCTGTATCTCTCTGATGAGAGTGTGACTAAATGAACACAGATTTTCCACTTAATGTTGTTACAGCAGAACCTCAATCAGAGCATCTCTCGTCTCTCGAAGCTTTAATAATTCTGGGGTTAATGCTGCCCCCTGGTGGTCACTGTGCACCTCTGCAGGCCATTTACCATTCAGATCAGGTGTGTGGGGCTGTGTGCGTGATTGAAGCTGACAGGGGAAGAGTGTTTCCAGCGCTTTTGGTTCGTGTCTCATTAGTTTGTACCGTTTAAGCGAGTGTTTGCATGCAGCTCCAGCTGTGCATCGCCGCTCGGGAGGCGTGGATTGATTTGAGCATTACGCTGCAGGCTGGTACCTGTTAAAATGTGCCATTTCACAGGGGATTTATTGATTTATGTGCTTGACATGCAGCCCAGTTTGGTTCTACTGGCTTTATTCAGCATTACCTAGACTGTAAGATAAGAAATTCATCATTTACGTATTAATGATATAGCTCATCTCTCAATGTCCTGAATCCTGAATGAACTGACTTTAAAGCATCAGTTTGGTGAACATCTTTTCCCCCAACCTCAGATAAGCCAAGACATGTTTGGTGTCAAATTTGCTTCTTTAGTTTTACATTAGAGCTAATGTAGCTAACAAGTATTGGATGCTTGTTCTCCACCAATTAGCACTGCAACCTGCAGGCCTAAATGCATTAGCAAGCTGATAAAGGGCCCATATCCTACATTTTACTTCTATTTTATTTTTTCCCCCTGAGGTCCACGTTTTTAACATTTGCGGTTTTATGTCGTAATTCATTTTTACAGGACATTTTTACATTTCCAACCTCTCTTTATCCCTTAGAATTAAACAGTTTTTATTACTGTGCCTTTAAGACCTATAGATGCTAATAAGCTTGTTTATATGTGACCCCATCTCCTGCTTCTGTCTTCTCGCTTTATTAATGTGCAGTGCAGTCTGTATGATTCTCCTTCTCTAGCTCTCTCTCTCTCTCTCTCTCTCTCTCTTTCTATTCAGTTCTGTTTAAAAGGCTTTAATTACAACACCGAATAAGCAAAATGTGCCAACATAATAATTAATAAAGATATTTAGTGACTCACAGATTAAGTGACTCATATTCAGTTAAATATTAATTGGCGACTGTGAGAAAATGGTAAATAAAGATGAAAGGAAGTGAAGAGATTAAGGACATAAAACACCTCTCTCTCTCTCTCTCTCTCTCTCTCTCTCTCTTCTCTTTCTCTCTCTCCTTTTGGTTTGTTAATCTGCTGTCTTTTTTCTCTTTCTGTCTCTGCTCTCTCTCTTTTTGATTTATCTTTTTCTCTACTTGTGCCTGTCTCTTCTTTTCTTACTCTGTCATTCTTTTCTCTCTTTCTGTCTTTTTCTCTTTCTCCCCTCTCTCACTCTCTCTATCTCCTCTCCCTTTATTTCTTTCTCTGTCCCCCTCCCCTCTCTTTCTCTCTTTCTGTTCTCTCTCTCCTTCTCTCTGTTTATGCACATTTAATGTGTTTCTGCATTTATCTTTCGTGTTTGTTTGCTTATTGTTCTGTATTTCTCTCTTACCCTCTCTATCTCTCCCTCTGTTTTCCTCCTTTCTCGCTCTCCCTCTTTCTCTTCTCTCTCTGTCTCTCTCTCTGTCTCTCTCTCTCTCTCTCTCTCTCTCTCTCTCTCTCTCTCTCTCTCTCTCTCCTTTAGGTTGTTTGGCAGTAAGGCGAGCAGTAAGCCCAGTTCTCCTGGGACACCTGACTCCGGTAAATGCCCGTCTGCTTTGGGGAGCCCCCATGCCACGCTCGCCCGCCAGCCCAGCCTGGACTCGCCCTCCTCAGGCACGGGCAGCCTGGGCAGCAGCATAGGGGGACACAGTGGGCACAGCGGGGGCCGGACACCAGAGCCTGGCATGGATTCACTTGCCTCCAGCCCCGCCTCCGCCCTCTCCCTGCCCTCGAATGCCCGCCCCTGGCCCCCCACCCTCAGCAGCTCCTCAGCTGGGAGTAAAGAAACACTGAGCTGCCAGAGTCTGACCAGCTTACACACCAGCTCCGAGTCCATAGACCTTCCCATCCCCCACCATCACCATCACACCCCCAAAGTCACACGCACCGGCAGTGTTAAATCCACACTCTCAGAGGGGTGAGTTCAACCTGAACACCCAAAACTTCTTTCAGCCTGCTGTGTGTGCATGAGCGTGGAGATTGCAGAGAACTGTGGTCTCAAATATACTGATATTAAATCATGCGCTTTTATTTAGAATCTTTTTTTGTTGTGGTTATATTATACACTCACTGGCCACTTTATTAGAAACCGCTACCTTTTAATAAGGTTGGGCAGTAAGATGATATCATTATCATGGTAAATTACATCAGAATGTGCTTGCCAGCATGAATCTTAAAAAAGACAACAAGAAGACATATATAAAAATTGTAAATAGACAATCAGTATATAGTAACTGTTTAAATTATGCCAGTATCTTTATTGTCCCCTTTATTAGAAACACCTACCTTGTCCTTCCACTCACTGGCCACTTTATTAGAAACACCTACTTTGTGCATCCACTCATTGGCCACTTTATTAGAAACATCTACCTTGTACTTCCACTTACTGGCCACTTTATGTGTTGCTGCAATTGATAAGCCCTCCTCTGCCCCATTTCTCACCAGTCAGTTTCTAACCACAGAACTGCTGTTAACCATATACTATCTGGGTAGTGGACCACAAAATGGCCACCAACAGATGAGGTGCAGTGTGTAACAGCAAGATGAAGCTACAAAGGAGAGGTTTCTAATACGTGGTCAGAGAGTGTAGAGTCAGTGTTCTGATTTTAGTATGTTAGCTTTATTATTAGTTTTGATACGTTCTTTGAATTTGAATTAGCATTTCAGTGCATCTTAAGATGTTAAATGTTTAATATCTGCAGTATTGTTGTGTGTGATCCCTCTGTGTGTGTATGTGTTTGTCCCTAAAATCTCACTTTGTTGTGTTCTCTCTGCTTTAACAGCATGACTCTTGACAGAAACACTCTGCCCAAAAAAGGACTAAGGTACTAATATGCAGTTTGATCTTTCACCTGATCGAATGTCTCTCTTATATTTAGTACCACATTATTACTCACATCTTTGTAACTTATATCATACAGAGACAAAAATGTGTGTGTGTGTGTGAAAATATGCATTTACATATACAATTATCTGTCTTTATGTAAGGCTGTGTGTGTATGTATGTGTGTGTGTGTATAAAATTGTGATCAGCGCAGTTTATCCAAGAAATTTGAGCTGTTGTTTAAAAGTGCTGCTTGATGAATTAATGAACATTTGTTAAAGCAGGAGAGTGACTATTTTATTACATCACATTATTTTTTTATCCTCACTCTAAGGGTGGCTATTATTGTCACTACACAGTAACCGGTACTGTCCTGTCAGACTTTATTCAGCACTTTGGGTGATGATGGGCCAGTTTGGGTGAATTTTGTTGAGCTTGGGTCAGTTTCAGACTCAAAACTTGAAAAAAATGATTTGGGTTGGGTCAGGTGCCGACAAAATTTTGTCAGTACTCAAGCTGTAATTGGGTTTGGACCAAAATTTCAGCCCATTAAAGCTGTACTTCTGCCTCCAAGCTCTAATGTTGTTAGTGTGATGCACAACGTGATTATAGTTATTGTTTGTCTTTTTTCAAATTTTCTTCAAAATATCGTGAGAATACCAAATCATGAACCCTGTATTAAGAATCAAATCCAATTGTGGTCTAAATGTATCATTACACCCCTTAAGGAAAGGAAAGAGAAAGTGTTTTAACAGATAACATTAAAGGCAGGTTTACACCTTGCATTAACATCCGTTTTCACGGATTTCACCCGATTACATGAAAAGCCAAGTGTAAACACCCACAGGACAGGTAAGAGGATAGACAATAAAACGAAAAGTGGACAATACGCAAGGCTGGAGTTATTCACAAACTAAAGGCATGTTAGAAATAGCCTGCTATGTACTTTTGATGTACTGATTGTGGAAAAGAGTAGTAAGTAGTATGCAGTAAGTATGCAGTATGTGACCAACATGAATTTCTCCAGTGCATCAAAGAAACCGAGATGACATACTGCTCCGGTCAAACATTCCAATACAAGGGCAGAGTTATCTCTATAATATGCTGCATTCCAAAATGCAACATGGTCATTTCAGGAAGACGTAACCACAGACATAACCCCGGGTTCGCTCCGAATAGTGTACTAGCCTGGAATTCAGTCTTATATTGATAGTTTTATTTTTCATTGATATCAATTGGGTTGGATACCTTAATAAAAGAAAAACAATTAAAATACACCAGAACTTGGCTGACTGACGAGAGGATAATTTTAAGTCTCTTGGTCTTTGTGATCTGTGGGTCTAAATGATAATGTAAGAAGTTTTTTCTATTGAGTAAAAATACAGGTATTAAATTTCAATAAACTAATGCTATGGCCTAAACTAATACTAATCTATAAGTAATAACATAATAGTGAATTTGCGCAACGTAAACAATAGTTTAATTAAAAATACTAATAATTACACAATTCCTCCACCCCTTACCACAAATGTCAGCCAAGACATGTTTGTGCAAAGTTTGTTCTTTTGTTGTTCTTTAGTTTCCTTAGTTTTGCACTGAAGCTAAAAACAAGTAATGGAAGCTTATTAGCAATTAGCGTGGTGCTAACTGCATACCTGAATCTTCTCATTCACCTGTGTTGTGTTGTAAAGTAACCTCAAACAGGCTCGCTTATTTGGTTTCTGACACTGTATCACACACTTGTCTATTAACATGGACTAAAAAGATAAGTTTGAAGCCTGAATATTGTCTGCAGTTTTGGAAAGTGTTAATCAGACATTTGTCATTCAGTCACTAAACACTTCACTTTTACTTTTAAATGCCTTTTATGTAACCGCATTAATTTGCTGCCTGGGTAGAAAGCTTTTGAAACATGCAGACTTTCAGCAAATCCTCTATAGCCACAGTTATTGCTTAGAGAAAGTGGGAATCAAAGCAGCGTATTGCCTTTCAAACCACTGCGAGGGAATGCTCAGTTTAAGGGGATTTTTAAAGTTCGTTTATGTATGCACAGCGCATACACACAACCGGGCAATTACACACACGGCGGTGTGATTCAAAGAACGATCCGCCACAATCAGGGAGATAAAGAAAGCTGGAGAGGCAGCAGCACCTGTGTGTGTTGAGGACATTTCTGCGGACAGTGTGCTGGAGTTCACACAGAGCCGTTATAACAGTCAGCAGTGACAGTGATGAATGTGAACTCCATTAGCCACTCGGTGGGATTAAACTGAATTGCTTTTTAACGCCGGAGATAAGACTCTGTCGCAATCACTGAGCTGCAGATGAAATAGAGAGAATAAAGGCAGGCGCTTGCTTTAGTGTGCATATGTGAACACTGCTCATCAAAAAATTCTTTTGAAATTTGGAAAAGGTTTTGTTTTTCACTCTTACCTATTTTCAGTAAGACAGGAATAAATCGTGTTTGGAGGCAGAAGATGTTTTGTCTGCAATTTAATGGTTAAAGTCACTTGACATTTGCTAGTCAGCTTCCATATGCAGGTTCACACTTCAGTTCCTCTCAACTGCAGGACATACACATTCATTCCATAATAGCAACTGAATAATTTGTAGTAGTTACTGAATAACATGTGTAAATATGTGTATACATGTGTAAATATGTGTATACATGTGTAAATATGTGTACAGTATGAATGTCATTGTGTGTGTATGTGTGTGTGTGTGTGTACATGTGTGTGTATATGTGGTGTGTGTGAGAGAGAGAGAGAGAGAGAGACAGGTGATAATACAAGGCTACAGTAATATTCTATGGCCTATTCTATTCTGCTGGAGTTATGGGTTTGTATATCATCTCTCTCTCTGTCTCTCTCTTTCTCTTTCTCTCAGACACCCTCCCTCTTCCAGACAGACGTCCCATGATGAAGGGAAAGAATGGTTGCGCTCTCACTCCACCGGAGGGCTGCAGGACACAGGAAGTCCACTATCACCCCCTGGATCCACTGGCACTAGTGCAGGAAAATATCACTATTCCAACTTATGTAAGTTCAAAAAAATCTCACTATTGCAAAATTCATAAAATATCACTCTTCCAACCTGCATAAGCTCATAAAATGTCACTATTCCAGCATATGCAAGTTTACAAAATCTAGCCTTTCCAGTCTGCATAAGCTCACAGAATATCGTTGTTCTATTCCATGTATATGCATTTGACCAAATAATCTCTTCAAACTGGCCAATAATGCATGTGTCTAATGTGTCTAATGAATTCTGCTTGTTTACCCTTCAGTGAGCCCCACCAGTATGTCCCAGTATCCCCTGTCCAGTGGCAGCATGAGCCGCTCTAATAGTATTCCAGAGCAGGACCGGTTTGAGCTGTTTGCTGACGGTCGAGCGCTGGGTGGCAGTGCCACCTCACTGGAGGAACGACCACGAGCCATGAGCCGATCTGGATCATTCCGGGACAGTACAGATGAAGGTGCATCACCCTAATGTTACACTTCTTTACTTATTGTATAAGTATATAACTAAATAATAACTTAATAATAACTATAACTAAATAATACATTTCCTTGGGACATGCAATAAAAGTCTTCAGCATCTATTTTTTTTAAGATTTCAATTAAGATTAATTCAAAAATCTAAATGATACATATTTATGTGTACTTCAGATTGAGTATATTGAATTTTGTTGTTTGTTGTTGTTTATTGTTGTTTACTGATGTTTTCTCTGTTGCATCTGTAGTCCATGGGTCATCTCTGTCTCTGGTCTCCAGTACCTCCTCCTTGTACTCTGCGGTGAGTATCATTCTCTGCTCATATTCTTTGGATAAAACAGCAGCAATATTCAATAAATGTGTGTTAAAAAAAGTCTTTAAATATTTCTTAGCATGTGAAATAGGGCATACATGTTTTCAGACCCAGTTACTGATGTAGAGTGATGCTTCCAGATTGAGAGAAACCTTTTTTTTCTCACCCAGCAACTGGCTATGAAGGAGAACAGATCAGTTTTTCTCCCCATCACTCCGTTAGATTAAAAGGCTGAAAATGATTTGGCTAAAAAGGATCAGATTTTTAATTTAGATGCTAACTTGCCTCAAGTTTCACTTGACACGTTCCAATGAAGTAATGCCGTAATCCGTTTATGTTCCAGCTCCATTTCTTTGTTCTTTGAGGTCCTAGTCTGTGTACATTTGGTGATAAAAGCATTTATATGTTTGAAGCCTGTGTTTGAAGTTTGA